AGAGTCTGGCACCACAGTGGAATCTAAGCCTAGAGTGAACTGTGCTATGGGAGGAGCTTCAGTGGCCCCCATAAGACATAGCTCATCATTCCTGTAATCACTGCCGGAAGACAACTTAAGAATGAGAAGTAGTGAAGAAAAGGCAGTGGAGTCCTTGACCAAGCTGTAGTGTGCACTTGGGAGTCTCCATCAGCTGTCAATGCACCCTGCTTACACTAGAACTGTGTCACAGTTCTGCACTGAGGCATCTGTATATGACCACCTATCACAGTCCTTCCTCCTAGGTCATCAGCTCATTATAAACTAATATTACTTCTAACTAAGTAAATCCGCTAACCAGGTAAATAGGGGACCAACTCTTGTTTTGTTCTGGGCACTAGAGATACAAAGGTAAAAGACGACATTCATAGCTTCAAGAAGGTCACCAGTGGCAACGTATACATTTTATTAAGATTCACATTTGTATGTCTTAGAGAACAACTGGCAAAAAGAAGAGAACACAAGGAATGACTGGAAAGTTCATATCTAGAAAGAAAAGGCCATTCAATGATATCCACTGGGAAGTATGTCCAGAAGCGGCAAGCAAAAAAAGGTAGCATATTGCATAGGAGAAGATTCTTCAAATCTTTTTATAATGTGGCTCAATGTCATAGCGTATTAGCAGAATGAATGAATGTCTTCTGAATGGACTAGCTAATTTTTCTCAAAGGGCATCCTCCTACTTTCTAGTTGGTAGAGGCTTTACTAACTTTAAACACGGATTTACTGGAAAAGAAATGAGATTGCACATGAGTGACATAGAACTAGATCTCCTTTCCCTGGAGACTGAACAGCCAAACAGCCCACCCACCCCAGCAAGCTTACTGTCCATTGGTGTATTAATGTTGAATGCGGAACCAATTGGAATCCAGCGTGCCTCAAAAGGAAGTTGGGTCAAAACTGTCAATTAAGTGGAGAAATTATGTACAAAACTAGGATTTCAGAGACTGAATCTTTCAATATGGGGCTGGGTCCTCATGCCCTTTGACATATTATATAATAAAGACAAGCTGAGGTAAACCATTCCACTAAGTTTACAGTTCTTTGATGCTTGATACAGTCCAGGCAGCAAGCAAATAAGACTTTATTTGGTAAATTTCCCCTCCTATCTCCCTTAAATTCTGACTCTAGTTCCTTTGTGGCCTCAGTTGGAAGGGTGCGGGTTCTGTGCTAGTGCCATCTAGAATTCCTGCTGCTGAAAATTAAAAATAGCTGTAGTATATCTTTGTCATAACGTATTACACCTGCACATAAACAATGTAGCAAGTCTCCATTTAAACAAAATGAACGCTTAGAGGATAAAAGGGTTCTGAATACAGAAGCATGTGTAACCAGATGAAAATATACAACTAAAGGACATTGTGTGAGCAAAGCAAGATAGATCCGAGGTGACGTTCCTATCAGTTTATCTCATAACAATGAGACTCATAGACTTTAAACCCTCTTGAACATTAGCTTCTGCATAATTAGGAGTCTGTCACTACCAAGTTTTAGCACACGAGTCAGCAGCGTTTTAGAAGCTGCTTGCAATGAATTGTGAGTCTATTAAATTTTTCTAGTTCTTTCCGTGCTTTCCTTTTTCTCTAACCACAAAACACCCTAAAGATCATTTCTTTAATGCATTGCTCTGTCAAATCTGTATAAACAAGTATAAATGTTAAAAAAGTAAAGAATACTAATCAAGAGACACAAGGCATACACTGCTTAATAAATCTTGCCTTCAATTTATTTGTCTAGTATTACAATGGCAGAGGAGATATCAATTAATATAGGCAAAGAGGACCCATAATTTATAATTAACTGGCAAGTGGTTTGTAGCAAGCAGCAGCACCGAGTCTAATAGCCGGTAGAAAAATAACTAGTGTTGATTTGTCCCTCGGCAAATTAATAGAGTGCTTAGCAATGACAGGGTTACATAAAACTGCTAAATAAATAATCATCAGTGAGTTCGAGTGAAGCAGATCTTTAACAAGCTTAATCTGAACCTCTTGACATCTGTAGACTATGAAGAGATTAAATGGTAAGGAAGAGAAGATACAGAGCACACATTGTAAGCCTGCTCCACAACTGGATGAGATCATGTTCTTATGTAATGAGAAATAAAGAAACAGTTTTATTGCAAAATTACATTGAAAAATGATTTTCATTATAATTAGAGAGAAATTATAAAAGATATATCATGGAAATGCTGGACTGGAATTCACCAGATGCGAATTTCACTACATCTCTTAACAATGAAAACACATCATTTTTGTCATTTTTGATCTATTTTTGCTCGTTTGCTTCACTTTTATTGCTCACCTCTGTTCATGCCACACATCCCTGCTCATATGTCACCACAGCCACAGCCGTGAAGCTTATTTGGGGTTGTGAAGGTTGCACAATAGAAGAAAATGAATGAAGGCTTGATACTTCATCAGTCCCCCTGGCCTCCCCTGACACTCCCAGCCGTACCTATGGACCCTAAGGTTTGGTCATGGATGTTCTATTGCTCGTGGTATTTGCTTTGCCCTGTTTACATTCCTGTGAATTTTTCCTGTACTACCTTGGGATTTTGTCTTTTAAATGACCTTTATTTCTAGATGTATTAACCTTATCATCCTGTCTAATTATTTTCCCTGCACATGTTCTTGGTGGGGAATTCAGCCATACCTTTCAGTGCTACCCATATTCAATTAGACTCTCACAGAATCCTCAGATGCCTCAAATCTTAAACAGAAACCTGAGATCTGGTGCAATAAGCATGTGTTCTCATAGGTGTTCATATCAGATAGAAGATGGTAGCTAATTCTGTGCAGTACTGCTATAAGAAATTGCCTGAGTCCGAGCAATTTATAAGAAATAGAATTATTTTCTCATAGTTCTAAAGACTGGGAAGTTCAAAATCAGGGCCCTTCCAGGTCTGGTGTAGCAAGGGCTACTCTCTGCTTCCTGTTGCTTAGTTCTCTGAAGAGAATAAAAGTCTGTGTAAGTTTAGAACAGAAGGATAGGAAGGTGATGGGTAAAAATGCTGCACAAAGAGATGGGACCACTCCTGACCTGCAGTCTCCAACTTGTACTAATGCTGTTCTGATGCTAAAGTGACCCGTACACAAACATCAAAACCGTTGCCCTCTAGAATGTGGCACTAGAAAGCCATGTGCTTCCCCATGCCTCAGAGACCTTTGTTGAATAGGGTACAGCTTTTCCTGTGCTCTTTGGATTTCTCACTGCATCCCTTGGTTCAGGGAATGCCTCTCCTCAGGATTTTGCAGCTACACTTGCATCCTTGTGATTCTTATTGGCCCAATCAACTGAATTATGGTTGTTTTTTTTTTGTTTTTTTGTTTTTTTGTTTTTTTGTTAGTGGTATTTTGTTTTCCATTAAGCTAAGTTAATTATGGGAATGAGACCAGTTGAACCAACCAGAGTCTTTTGAAGAGGAACTGGGGCACAGAAAGAAGAGCCATGTGACTCTACAAGAGGACTTGACAAATTATTGCTGGCTTTGAAGACCCAGAAAGAGATTTCTGTTCTCACATGAAATCTTGCCCCGTCCCGCGGGGCAGCTTTTGTCGCAGGGTCCCTCGGAGAAGGCGAGCCTAATGGGAAGAAACAGGGGAGAAAGAGGCGCGAGACCAAGCAAGGAGAAAGAAGGCACAGAGCCAGCTGAATCTTGTCAAGGTCTCACTTTATTGCAGAAGCTGCTACAAGATATACTGTAGGGAGTAGGAGGAGGGGGTGGCCTCTTGGGACATGTGGCAAGGGTTTAGGGAACTGGGTTAGGGAACTTGTGGCTGGGTGGGGAATGGAAAACTAAAATTGGGTAAGGGAACATTTGGGTAAGGGGCTTGAGTAAGGGGTTGGGTAAGGGGACAAGCTGAACTCTCCGTGGTAAGCCGCAAGCTCTGTGCAAGCATGCTGAGAACAAGGAAGTGACTGTTGTTCTCACGGTGGCAGAGGGCAGGCTGCCCAAGCCAAGTGTTTTTAGCTCCAGGGTATATTTTCCTGGCCCCCCGACAAAATCTCAAGTAACAACTAGGACAACAGGCAGATACCATGATGTTCCTGTGTGTGCCTGCCTTTACCCTGTGGGATAACTTACAAGGAGGGACTTCTGATAGTGACTTCAAATTATCTGGCAATGCTCGCATCCTATCTCTCAAAGTTACTACTTTTCTGCACTTCAGTTCCACATTTCCAGCACACCTTGGCACAGCCCACTCTTAATATTCTATAAGAAGTTTATGATTGCTTCTTGGCCCTTTGGTTAAGTTCAAGTGCACTGTAAGAACTTGATAGTCACATATGAGAAACTGACCTCAAGTGGCTAATGAAATAATCTTTAACTATGTCTTTCAAACTTAATTATTGAATATTAATGAATATTAAGTCCTATATTTATGCTCATGTCCTGTATCCTCCAAGCACACTAAATAAATCCTTCCATCCTTTAAGTTAGGCACTTAAAGGTCACTCTCTAAGACTTTCTTTCCTTTCTGTCTTCTACTACCACCACCACCCTTTGGGTCTTCCTCCTCTCTTACATGGGGCTTTGCAATAGCTTTAGAGCAAGGAGAAAATTGGTCTCCTAAAATATGTATGCATGTCCCAAAGCCCAAGATGTTATGTTGATGTGGCAAGGGGAAGCTAAGTTTACAGAAGGGATCAAGGTCACTAAGGGTCTGATGGTGAGTGAGGGAAATTATCACAGATACGGGTAAATGTGTTTGAACCATGAAGGTCTCTTAAGGAGGAAAGGTGGGGAGGAAAGTCTATGTGACTCTGTGAGAAGGACTTCATGTATGTTTGCTTGCTTTGATGGTAGAAAAGGGAGCTTAAGTCTAGGAGCTGGAGCTCCAAAGAGGAACTTCCTTGCTGCCAATATATAATTTAACTCCACAATATCCCTGTCAGATTCCTGTGACCAATCATCTTCCACTGCTCTGTCTCCAGGCCCCCTGGTTCAGGTTTCTGTCTGAGGTTCTGAAGCTATAACCTTGTGTTCTCTCTTGCCACCAAGTTCCTTGGCTTCTGTTAGGGCAAGAACAGGAACTGAGTGTTGCTCTCTGACACTGCTCACTGTCAGCTTCCTTCTCTGATATTTGATTTCCATACTTTCCCCCAAACGATCTTTGGTAATAAGGATTTGGCTGCAACACCCTTCAATGCTAATCCACTTAATGGTTTCCATGATGATTAGAATCCAGTTTGTACTGCTGAGTCATGGTGCACAACGCCCAGAGTCTCTGTTCTGTTTCCAGCTTTGAGCCTTATGTTTGTTCTCCCTCTCTCCTCTTCTCTTCTCATTCTGCAAAAATAGTTTCTACACTCCATACATCTTTAGTTTAACTGCAGATTCTGGAATGTCCCACAAACATGCTGCATGCATGTTTACCGTGGTGGGTTTGGTGAGGCGCTGTTTTTCCTAGCTTCTTCCTGGCATGCAAACCACATACTCCATTCTTCAGGGCTCAGCTGGAGGGTAAGTTCATGGCTGTTTTGATGATGTTATCTATTTCATTGATTTTGCTGTGATACTTACTATTTCCTTCCTTCAGTTTAATTCACTTTTTAATGTGCCTCTTGTTTTTGTTTCTTAAGGTATAAGCTAGGCTTTATTGATTTAGATGTCTATACTGTTTTTAAACATGGGAACTTTCTGTTAAAATGTCTTTTTCCAATTCAAATACTACTATACTGAATTCTGCCAGTTTTGATATATTATATTTTCATTTTTACTCAGCTCAGATGACTTTTTAGTTTCTTTTTATTTTCTTAACTTATGGTTTATTTAGAATTCTCTTAAAATTTCCAAATATTTCAGAACTGATAATAAATCTTACTGTTTTCATTTTCCAACTTAATTTTGTTGTAGTTAAAAAACATGTTTTTCAAGGCTTGAATTCTTTTAAATTTATGAGGAGATACTTTGTATCCTGGATTATGAGCTATCTTGGTGTTTGGTGTTTTGAAAAGAATATGTATTCTCAGGTGTGTAGTATATATTTTTTGTGCATAAAATAGGTCAAAATCATTATGTTTTTACTGATTGTTATTCTATCAATTATTGAGAAAGGGATATTGAACTCTCTCTCTCTCTGCCTCTCTCTGTCTCTCTGTCTCACTCCTTCTCTCCCCTGTCCCCCTGCAATTCTTCATGTGTTTTAAAAGTCTTTTGTTAGGTACATGAACACTTAGAATAGCCATAATGTCCTTCTCATTATGAACTGTTAATATCCTTTATTCTAGTGCCCGCTCATCTGCTGTGAGAGCAATAACAGAGTTCCTCAGGCTATATTTTGGTTAGCTATATAATGGGAGGGTCTATTCTCACTATGTAGTTTGGACTAACCTTATCACTCATGTCATCCCTTGTCCTATGTGAGATGCTGATGCCATCATGTTTGGATTAGAGTGAGAAATCTTTTTATTTATTTATTTATTTATTTATTTATTTCCCCATCTTGGTGTGTCTGACAATCTTTGGCACTATGAGTTTGCGTATTCCATATGGATTGTTTTTTAATTCCCTTCCTGATCTGTTGTAGGTTTTTGCTATGTTGTCTACAATGCTTAACTTTGAAGAGCATTACTTTGACAGACTTACTTCAGAACAGGGTTTGAACCAAGCCCTGGATGGTTCCTATTTGTGTAGCAAGGACTCCAGTGTCCCCTTCAACCTGTTCTGGACATTATGGGGTATCCCATCCTGCTGCCAGGAACAGATCCCCCAGCCCTGGCTAGCTACCTAGCAGTATCTCTCTGATTCATTTAGATGATTCTTCCTCTGGTTTTCCTTAATTTCCTCATAAGCCAATGCTGGTGAGCATTCAGGTTAACCCCACGAATCTCTGGGCAATTCTTGTCACTGTTACTCTTCCCTGTGAACTCTCCATGCTATGGTTCTCTAGGATCCTAGTTCTGTGCCCATAGCTGAGGATTTGTCTGGGCTCTGAAGGTTTTTCACCTTATGTTGTTACTAAGGGGTTCATTCTTTGTTTCCCTGTACTTGGAGACTACAGCCCTTAGTTGTCTGATACATAAACACATAAGTGTCTTAGAAGATATGATGGTCGCTTTCACCTAGCCTTTGTAGGTTTCTTTTCCTTTTTCTTTTTTTAAGTAGAGGATAGTATGGACATGTTTCCCTCATTCTGGTTAAATGATCTAAGTCAAGTTTACATCCTTGTTGCTCACTGAGCAGCTTCTCACCAGAAACAGAAATCATGGGACCTAATTCTAAATTCTGTTTTGATAAACTCTAATGGAACTGAAGATTTTTCCCCTCCACAGTGACCTACATGTGTTTTCAATTGGTAGAGTGATATGTGCAAGAACACTTCTAAGTAGCCTGACCCAAAAGTTTTCACCCACTCAGCAATGGCAGCTCTGTTCTGTAGCATTTACTATAGCCCAAGCTGTATCTGGAACACCTCCACACGAGGCTCCTATAATAAAAAGTCACGCCATAAAAATGGGTGTAGGTTTTTCTTAGCAGACCCATGGCTTTGCTCTCAAAATAAACAGCTAAATCCTAAGCTCCGAAACTCGTATTCAACCAACTTTTTGAGGACTTGGTGGGAAGATTTACTGCTTGCTTGCATGACTTATTTTAGTCAGGCTTTTATTTTTTTAACATCCAGAGCTCCAAAATTGTTCTGGGGCTTGACTCTATTTCACAGGATCACTTGCTTTTTAAGCATGTCACTCAGTTTTTTTTCTGACTGATCTACAAAGCTGAAATTAAATATTACTAATAAAAGTCCTAGCAATTACAAAGTACCACATTAAGTCCTCAGTTTATGTTTTGAAAGGTTCTAGGACGTTAACGTGGAAATGGTTGTCAGGTTTGAAAAAGGAAAAAAAAATAACTTTGAAAAAAATTTTAGCTCAGAATTAATGTTTCCACTCCAGGGTTATCAGAGCCTGTCTGTACACATTTCCAGCATGCTGCTTGTTGAAGCTTTGACTGTCCAGAGAAAGAGTGGAATGACAGCAGACATCCTGCTTCTCTTTTCGGCTTTGAGAGAGAGAGAAGTTCAAGCTTTTGTACATGCTTGGTGCTAGACATTTCTAAGTAACAGCTTGCTTTATGCTTCATAGATGAGTCCTCATAGAATACATCCCATCTTCCTTTCTTCTGCTGATGTTTTTAAAGACTATATCCCTGTAAAGATGACAGTTCTCATATCCATTCACAAAGACATTCATAGTCACCATAACCCTGTTCTCCAAGAGTACCACCTCAGGAAGGCTTAACCTCTTGAGCCGCCCACCTCAATACCATTAGGTATTGGTACAGGTACCAATACCTGTACCAAAAATCTCCTACCTTTGACAAGAGATAGGAGGTGTACAGGAGGAGTAGTTGTTGCCACTACTTCTGATTTGCTGGCCCAGAAGCATGTTTCATGAAATCTGTCTCTCTGGGTTTGACTTTTTCTGTTGTAGTACTCTGCAGTTTTTGTGTTGTGAAAAATATCTCCTTAGATGAGAGTTGCAGAAAGGGGAAGCTCCTTCATGACTGTGTTTCTGTTCTTCTGTGTAAGCTGTTTTGGATTGAGGACATCTCCTCAATGGGATCACACCCTGGAATCTGTTGCAAGAAGAACCTGTCACTGTTCAAAAAAAAGTCTTTGGGATGATTTTAAATAAAAAATCAGAAGTATGATTTATCCATAGATCATAAAAATAAAAGGATTATAACTAAGTCTGTATAAACAACTACTGTGTAGACACACTGTGTAGACTACACCAGAGGCCAGTAGTTCTCCCTTGGAAATTGAGTCCTCTCTGGGTGACTCTTAGTCTTTGCTCTAGCACCTGCATTTCTCATTAACTGACTCATCCCCACACCAGCACTGTTCCAAAAGAGGACCTTGATTCTTCACTTACAACTACTGGTAAGTAATAGGCACCATCAGTCCTTCAGATACTGCTAACTATGTTTAACTTCTCTGATGAATACATTTTTTGACTCAAATGGAATTCAGGCTCCCCTTCAAACAAATATCTCACCCAAGTATCCTCTTGAAAGTAATTAACAGCAAATTACACATTTCTGGGAAATGGTGCAGCCACAAGTCAGTGGGCCAGTTAAACAAGTCATTAGAGGAAGTGGTTTCCTAGAAAGACAGGAGCTTAGAGGCATATTATGTGTTCTCCCAGGAAAAAGTGTGTGTGTGTGTGTGTGTGTGTGTGTGTGTACTCCTGCATGCATGTCCATGTGAGTGAGTGTGTGAATAAGTGTGTGTATGAGTGTGTGAGAGTGTATGTGTGTGAGAGTGTGTGAGTGTGACTATGAGTGTGTGTGAGTGTGTGTGAGTGAGTGTATGAGAATGTGAGTGAGCAGGAGTATGCATGAATGTGTGAGAGAGTATGTGTGTGTGAATGTATGAGAGTATGTGAGTGTGTAAGTGTGACTATGAGTGTGTGTGACCATATGTGAGTGTGAGTGTGTGTGAGAGTATGACTATGTGAGTGTGTGCGAGTATGTGAATGTGTGACTATGATTGTGTAAGTGTGTTTATTTGTGAGATTGTGTGTGTATCATGTGAGTGTGTGCGTGCATGTGCATAAGTGTGCATGTGTGTGAGTGAAGTATAAGTCTAAGTGTACCCATTTCAAATGTGGTTTTCATAGCTCAGATGAGGCCAATGAAGGAGAGCCAGAGCTTTAATTGGGCTCATATTTACCTGGGACTACATAGGGAACTTTCATTGTGTGTGTGTGTGTGTGTGTGTGTGTGTGTATGTGTGTGTGAAATATCTCCTTGAATGAGAGTTGAAGAAGGAAATCTCCCTTCATAACTGTGTCTCTGATCTTCTATGTAAGCTTTTGTGTAATGAGGACATCTCCTGAATGGGAGCATGGCCTGGCAGCTGTTGTACGAACCTGTCACTGACCACCTTTGTTGGCAGCAACATGATGCTGCCCTGAGGTTAACCATCACTAACCTTCTCCACGGTTTTCATCTCCTACTCCCACAGCCTTTAGATGGAGCCTTTTAAAAGTACATTTTTTAAAAGTACCATTTGTTTATGTCTGGTTTTCTAACTGGATGAGTTAGTCTTTGGGAGTCCAACACAGTGAGTAAATCCAAGGTGATTAGAGAAAAGAGAATCCCTAACTGTTTATAAAATACTGTGCTTCGCTCAAATGTCACCTTTCTTTTGAACTCATTCTTGGTGTAGTTTTCTCTGATTCCCACCTATGTGCCCTCTTTTTGCATTAATGGCACACTTTTGAATACCAGAATATTTTGTGGCACACTTGAAGGAATTAAATTGCATCCACAACCATCACACAATTCACGGGACTGCCCTTTATCACTACACTGCTGTTTGAGTAGCGCTACTTACTGCCCTAGCTCACTCCATTATGCTCTCAGGAGGCAATGTTCTTCCATATTCTAGACAGTGCTTCATTCTATTGTGCATTGGCTTGGTGCTGCACAGAATAATAATAATAGGAATTTATTTATTTATCCTGAAGAAACTTATGCCTCTCATCTTGAGACTAGAGAAACTGTTCTAATGCATAGGCATGTCTGTAACTGTGCTGTAACACAAACAGTATGTTGATAGAAATTTGGTGGCTCATAGTTAATGCTTGAGAGTATCTCAGTAGATTGTCCCACAGCGGAATAATACCAAATTCTAAATATTTGGCTAAGACTTCCTGATGGCAAATCCTCTAGAGTCTCTGAGAATACACTCCACATTGCTCACCACATATCATTAGATTTTCTTCGATGTAATAGTTTTGATGTGTGGTAAGATGTATATCTATGTAAAATTATTACAAGAAAGTTATTTAAAAGTATCCTACCTTCTTATGAATGTATATTGTAGCTGTAAACATATGTGATTTAACTCTCAACAAATGTCAATAAATAAATAAATTTCTGTGCCACCCTAAATTCTTTCTGACATTACATACGGGCTATTGTATAGGTAACTATCATTCTGTAATTAGAAGAGAACTCTCTTGCTATTGGTCTATTACAATTTTACTTTCCAGTATAGGAGCAGAAGTTATTTGTGAATGATCTTTTAATATGACCCAATACATTATGAATAGTGTGTTTAGATGTTGACAATTTTGTCCACCATAATGAACAACAATAGTAATCATACTCCATCTAAACCAACAAATGAAGAAGTTGGGCTGTCTCCTCTCCATTTTTCCTTTCACTTCCAAGATAGTCAGTCTATCTGTCTCTCCTTAATACTCTCTGCAGGTCGTTTGTTAGTATCATAATCTACTGATTTATTTGCAGTATGAAGGCTGGATGTTGGATACTCACTAGGATAGGACAGTCTGTCCTGCACTGGCTATGCTGCATAATCAGTCACAGAATCAAGCTCTCTCAGTTATATGAGAGAACAGTCAAATATGTCTAAATTCTGAAAATCTTTTTGAGGACTCGTGAAAGGAAGGGTGGAGAGGAGTAAGAGGAGGAAAAGAGAGAACAGAGGGGAAGGGAGGAGAAGAGAGGGAAGGAGAGCGGAGCACTGTGCCAAACACAGCACCTCTGGACTGAGAGGGACTTTAGGAGATTGTCAAAGTAGAGGACTTATGGGAGACATGTGCTGTGATCTGTTGTTTTTGACCACTCCCATTATTATTCTAAACCCAACACTCAAAAATATGATTGTCCATTCCCTCTCCTATGTGGAAGGGAGGGAGTCAGAGGGAATGAAGATAAATGAGGCACCATCAGGGTGTGGAAGGGAGGAGGATAGTGAGGAAGGGGATTTAAAAGGAGCAAGGGCAGAACACGATGAAAGCAATTATATACCTATATGCAAGTGTGTAATGAAAGTTGTCAGACAGTTAAAATGAGATACTTTTAAAAATTCGTACTGGGGCTGAAGAGGTGAGTCAGAAGAAAAAGAACACTGGCTGTTCCTGCAGAGGACCAAAGCTTAGTTCCTAACATTTATGTTGGGCACCTCACAGCTTCTGGGGGTCTGAGGTCTGATTCTGATTTCTGAAAGCACTTATACCCCACCCCCCACATCATACACACACAGAGAGAGAGAGAGAGAGAGAGAGAGAGAGAGAGAGAGAGAGAGAGAGAGAGGACTCATCTGTGTATTGGCTATTTAACCATGTTTTTCTACCCAAACACTTTCTTCCATCTAGATGGATGAACTCTGTCAGAGACTTATGTACACTGTTCCTTGACCTTGACATCTGCTCTGCTTAAGTAGTCTGAAAATGACTGTCCCTTACCAAAACATTAAGGCACGCTGTCCACTGATGAAGGTGGAGTGGAAAGCAGAGACCATTTTGGTCCTTTCCCAAGATACCATGCCTTCCCAGTGTACATACTGACCAGGGTTGGCACTGACAAGTCCTCAGTTCCAATACTGAGCTTGCATGAAGTTTCTCCTGGCCTACAGGGATTATGTAAAACCAGCCCATTTGGTATTGTCTTGGGGTCTCTGCGGCTTCAAAACACACTGTTGCAGAGTTCAATCCAATGTCTCCATTCTAAGCCATTTCCCCTTGGCATGGGTGTTCTGCTGAACCCATCAGCGAAACTTAGCCCCATAGTTGGCTCCCCCTGCACCCCAACTGCCTCTTAGGCCTTGAATGCTGATGTGTGCTAGAAATGAAGGAGCTTTGAAACCTCTGTTGACATTGGTCTAAGATCTCTGTCTGAGGTACTATCAGGGAATTCGCAGGGCATTCATCAAAATCAAGCTGATGCAAGCGTGAATAGTCACAAGAAAGAAAGCTTTTATGCTGCAAACTGCTGCAGGCTGGAAAGGGGCTAATTTATTTAAATTATCCTTCCAAGTGTCAAGCCCCACTCTTTCTGGAAGGAGCTGACAAGGGCGGGGAAAGAAAGTTTTCTCAAATTTATAAATAAATTAGTGATGGTAGCAAGTTAACCTGGGTAATCGGAATAACAGAAAAGTAATCACTATCAATGTTGATGCCAATGGAGGAAAATACAGGTTTCTGCTATTAAGCTTTTAAATGTCAGCAAATGGCAGTTTAGTAGATCATTTGCTAATAATGATTAAATTTCTCATTAAAATGTTTCCTTCATTATTCTTCAGGTATAAATGTGTAATTCAATGATTGTTACATCAATTACACTTAAAAAGCTCATTAAAATACTGAAATATTATCTTATAGTCAGAGTACTTTAAGAGTACTGTACTAATTATAAAAGAAATAAACTCTTATAATAGCACCATTTGAACTGATGCCTTATAAATTCTTAATGTAAAGCTAACATGTAAAGTTTAAATCAAATATATAGATCCAATAAAACAAAACCTTTTTAATCTTGTTTTACCTTCAAAAGGGCTCTGATTATTGTAATTAAATAATGCATGATATAATAAAGATCTTGACTTTGTGATTATTTCATTGGCAATTGAATGCTGGTGCTTTTTATTTATGCAAGCAATGTATCACAGGCAATATGTATCAAACATTAAAATATTAATACAATTACACCTAGGCTTCCGAACCAATAAAAAAAAAATCTGTGACATGACTCTGCTGATGATCCGAGGACAGTTTGAAATACCTTTTAAATTTTAATGCTCGGATGTGCTGGGTTATGCTAATTTTGCTAAGAAGTAATGTGTCCAAGATTCACTGTTGTGATTTTGATTCTCCTGTGTGAACTCAATGGTGAGGAGCACTTGTTTCTGTTCCCATTTGACCAGTCTTTGTTCTATTCTCCTTTTAAGGTAAAAAGAGGGGTGGAGTTTGCACCTTGTTTAAGGGTCTTCTTATCTTAATGAGCTTTCCCTTAATATTCTTAGTTATGAGGTCTTATAGTTCTTTCAACTTTCAAATTATATTTCTGTCTGTCCTTAAGTCTTTTCTTAACAGAGAGAAAGGGTAGGGAAGTTTTCCACAATACTCTTCT